TCAGTCCCAAATCAGCTTCTTGATTATTTTTCCCAGGATTTGTGTCAGGCTAACTGGTCTATAGTTACCCAGATTATCCCTCTTGCCCTTTATGAATATTCAGTTTGAATATTGGCACAATGCTAGCACTCTTCCAGTTTTCTGGAATTTGCTCTGTATTCCAAGATTTATTAAAAATCACTATCAGTGGGACAGACATTTCCTCTATCAATTCTTGTAGGACTCTTGGGGGCAAGTTATCTGAGTCACCTAATTTAAAAATGTTTATGCCTAGTATACGTTGTTTAACATCCTCATTTACTAATGGACTAGAAAGTACTTCAGTTGTGTGTGATACATCCTGTTTCATTTCAAATACAGAACATAAATATTTATGGAACACTTCTGCCTTTTCTGCATCATTAACAATTTTACCTCTCCCTCAAGTAATGGGCCTACACCATTCTAGGATTGATTCTTCTTTTAAATGAGCTGGATAGGTTTAACTGTACTTCTGCCAGGAGAGGGAAGCTGTTGCAATCCAAGTTAGATTAAAGGGAAGAAACCCAGATTTGGATTCTACAATGTAGGAAAATGATTTCCAATAGGTGAACATTTGCAGTCCTCAACTCCTTCGGCATGGGCATGTGCCCTGAATACAGAAAACCTAACACAAATCTGGAACTAGTGTGAGACATGAGCCTGATTATACAATTTCCTTCTTTTACCTCTCAAGAGGAAATAAAACACATTTCATTATACATAGTGTAAGATATTACCATGTATTATCTAAATGTGGAGAGAAGGAAAATTATATTAGAGTAAAAGGTATTCCCATTATGACACCAAGATAGTAACAAGGTGATCATTTACCACCCAAATATGAATTCTGTTGAAAAAGAAAATTTAATGGGAGCAAACATAAAATCAAAAACAACAGAAAAATATGCAGGTAGAAATGGAAGAAGGATGAATGTTCTAGTCACAGAAAAATTATGTCCAGCACAGGAGATATCATGCAACTACATAGATCACTAGTTTCTATCATTACATCCAGTAGGGAGAGTTAGAAATGTAAGTCTTTATTCCTGGGATATATGATGTTGCCAAAGACCACACTGCCATTTCTATTCAAATTCCAACTGGCAGATCATTCGCTTGTGTAAATCAGCATACGTCTGTGCTAGTCAAAGAAATGATACAGATTTACACATGCTGAGAATTTGCCATTTTGTTTCTATTTTTCAGGTTTTTTATCATATCAGTCATAGTCAATATGTCAAAGCCAATTAATAATGGTTAGATGCAGTAACTGATCAAAGTATGTTTTCTATTTTTTGGAGGTATGCACCTTGTGAGGACAAAGTGAATTCAGTTTGGCTAACAAGTGCACTTAACAGACTGATTGTTCATGAAGATTATCTAGTATGTGGAAGTATTTCTTCACCAAATAGCAAGACCATAAAACAGGCAGTGATTTTTCTGCTTATAAGCCCATGGAACATTGAATCAACAATAAAAAAGTGGTCCAGCTGCCCAGTTGTTCTGGGTGTCCTTAAGAAGAAAGGATGGCCCTGTGATTTAATCACAGGACATGTAGTTAGGAATCCCAAGTCCTAGCTGTACCTCTGTCACAGACTTCCTGTGATCTTGGGTAACTTATATGTATCTCATTTTCTTGTGCTCTAAAATGGAGATAATATTTACTTTACTCACAAGGACAGTGAGATGCTCAGTGTACCGGTTTGTAGAGAACTTGTCACCAGACCACCTCATGAACTACCTTTATGATTATACAATACAGACTCATGAACATAGTTCACTGTGTTGAACCCTTATTAATGCTAAAACAAGACTCTTAATTTTGAATCCCAACCACTGACAAACAATGGGTAAATGAGGGCCTGTAGACATCTAACATGTTCTCATCTCAGTTTGTGCTAACAAACAATTATACCCACAAAATCACATCCAGAAGTAAGTGAGGGGCACAGCACTGCGGGAGTAACTTGGGATCATGATCAGTTGAACAGTGTCAGCTCCAAGAGCTGTCTGATCTAGGTGCAGAGTTTTTTCATACACTCACCTTTTATTTATCAGAAAACTGTATCTCCAGCTGTTATGCTCACATAAATTTAATGTCTGCTCTTGTTAATTCTCAAGAGGAAATAGAAAATAAACAAGTTGTTTTAATATTAATAACTTTGCTATTAATATGCTAAGCTTTCAATCATATTGGCTTTTTAGAAGATGCAAAGGACCAAATCATAGCTCCTCTAGCACAAGAAGAGAGGAAGCCTTTTATCCCCTTCTCTTTCTAGTACACCAGGCAAGAGGTGATCTGGCTAGCACTGTCAGCAGCGCAAGTCTGAATGAGGCATAAGTCTTCCCTGAGCAGCTTCACATCAGCCAGTGGTTGTGTTTTTGTTTTACAGGAGCACAGACTACACCTGTTCTAGAGACTGAATTGATCCCACCACTTCAAATTATGAGTAATAGTAGTGAAGTATCTGATCAGATGTCATCACCTAAAATAGTGGGATCAATTCTGTATAACACCATATGGAACTGTCCCACTGTCTGTACAGAAAATTGATAGTTTACTTTGCCAGTCACTCTTTCCTTTACCATCAGTCCTCTTTTTCTGAAGTTGAGGGACATAGTGTGCAGTCGGAATGGAGCGTTTACTAACATGAAATATTGGTATAATTTCATATTATGAATACCTGTTTTCATCTTGTTTCCACATGGATATTTTGTCATTATTAGTGAGCTATTCACAGTGCATGTTTTGTATTTTTCTTTAAAAATTCTAATAAATTTATGTTCACATAAAATAAGTGTCAATATTAGTAGAGAGAAAGCAAAAATATTTATCACTCAAAATATTTTTGGTATTTGACTATATCTGCTATCTCACTGAAAACTCAAAATGAGAATATTAACACAGTATTAGGATTGAACAACATTCAAAAGCACCAGAAGAAGAAATGAAATACAGAAACACATGCACTTCCTGGAAGTTATCAATTTCCACATTCCCTTAGTGCCCCACAGCTCTTAATCAAAACACGGAGGGAGAAGCCAATTAGTTCAATATTTCTTTTGAAGAAGTTTAAAGACCTGCTGGTTTAAGATATGACTACTAGAGTAGACAGAAAAGGTGCAATAAATTACATTTACTTTCATTTCCAGAAAGCATTTAGAAAAGTTCTGCATAAGAGGTTAATGCCAAAGGTGCAAAGTTCATGGAATAAGTGGAAAGTTGGCTCCTAAGACAGAAAACTAGCAGGTGATTAATTTATAACATGTCATTTGTCACATTAAAGGCCTGACAATCAGAGTCTCCATAAAGGGCAGAATATGACTGGCAGCCATAAATGAAACATTTAAGCAATTTACCTAATCTGGTCCCTGGGATACAAAAGTGGTTCAAATTTAGGGCAGAGATCATTTCCTTAAGGAGTAAAGCCCTGTTTATCATGGAACTGACCTTTACAGGTTCGAGCTTATTACAAGGAGTTGCTCCCTTCTTCTGCTCCCCAGACAGTAGCAAACATAGGAAAACAATGCACAATGGTGAATGAAGCACACATGAGCTCACAAAAAAATAGATCAAAATAAAGATAATAAATTAGAGATGGATAGAGAAAGAAAGCATTAAAACAGCTATATTCCTTTTTGCTGGAAATGGTTTGCAAGATTAGCATTATTTTATAAAATTGAGCTAACAAATATCCTCGTGGTGCTGCTAAGCAGCCAGTTGTTTGGGAATCAGAGGTGTTTTTATTTTTGTTTTTTTATAAAATAAAAAGTCTGCAACGTCAAACTGCTAAACTAGGCTAGACATTTTTGGTTGTCACTGCCCAATAAGCTCAGATTCAACCCTTTTTCATGACATTCCAGCTTTTAAATTAGAAAATGAAAAATATGTTTCAGCCAACTTGGATGAACAAAGGAAGTACATTTCCTTAACTAAATGTTCAAGACAGAATGTGTTTTTATTCTCACAAAAATAATTTCACCTAAGAAAAAACACAGTTTGGAAATAACAAGAGATATACCACACTGAAATTATTGGTGGGCATTAAAGTGTAGTCAACCTCCCATACAACCCCTTCAGTGTTAATTATTGCAAAATTATTGTAACAGCCATCCTAGGACCTGCTTTTCTACTGACAAGATGAAGTGCTCTGCAAAATTAGCTAAGGCCTATATGCAGCTGGGATCTAAGACCCTATAATCAATAGTAAAATTAAAATATGTAGGAGCATACAGCCATGCAGGATCTGAGCTTTAAACTTCCACAGCTGAAGATCATTTTAGTGCTTATTGGACATTAGCCATAAAGAAGGTAGCTTTAATAAGAGGCAATTATATTTGCTGGAATTGTAGGGAAGGAAATGGGAATTCATTATACATGCTATGGTTATGTTTTATACTGACAGAGGCCAGTCTAATTCCTTTAAGATTCTGTCATGTTTGCCTTTCCCCTTGTTGAACTTCAATAAATTAGTACAACACCTCCCAACATAATCCTCCTGATCCACTGGCGTAACATTGTGTAATTCACCACCTAATGAACATACAGGATCAGTATGTGGTGTACGTGCTATGCGACTTTTCAGAGGTCTTCCCCATTCCACCCTCAACACACAGTTATCTGTCCTACTTACAGGTAAGAAAATCAGAGACACTACAATTCTGTGAGGGCTCAGGTGTGGTAAGCATAATTAGGGCTTCATTTGTATTGATGTCAAACTGGACACAAAGAAACAAATTATGTCTGAAATACATTTTTTTTTCAAATGTTGCATCTCAAATGGATAAAAAAATCCTGTAAATAATTTACAAGAATAAATGTTGGTAAATAACATTCCATACAATTTCTCAGGAAATTACACTAGAAAAACAGAAGTCCAGGGAATATAAATGGTTTGCCCCTTTCAAAGGCAAGCAAATGCAAGTCAACTGTGGACAGATTCTAGGTCTGTAATACTGACAAGCAAAGGAATACTCACATGCAATTTCAGTTGAGGAATCCATGCATAGGTGAGATACCTGAGATGTTAGGAAAGGCAACAAGAAGTCTTCTCAAAAGTTTGGCCTGTAATCTGATGGTCTGCCTCTTCCTCTGTGGAAAGAAAAGGAAAGGGGAAGCAAGTATATGTTCTTTAAAGCAGGATGACTGACATGGCGGTGCATCTCTAAACAGGTCTTATCAGAAACATGCATTCGGTAGAAATTTTAAGGAAATGGTGCAGGAGGATATAACGTGGTGGCTATCTACTATTTAGCCTCTCTTGTATCTAGGGGTTGCTTTGCCTCTATTACCCCCTCTTGCACACAGAACTCCACACAGTCTCTCTTGTGGCTAACAGCACTCCAGTCTGGTGTTGGTTGAGCAACAGAAATGGCTCAAACAATCCTCAAAGTGCCCAGAATAAAGTCCATAACCACAACCCAAAATTTCATACTCCACCCTCATTTTTCTGCCACACGTGGAGCTCTTCCTCTGTCCCAGTCTCTTCCACTCGAAGTCAACAGGCCTAGCCTTTTCTCACTGGAGCTCAGCTCTCTGGTCCTGGCTTCCTTCACCTGTCAAGCACATCCTGCAACTTTCAAACCCTCTGATATCAGGGTCTTCCCAGCAAGAGCCTCTCTTACTTTCTGCAGTTTCGTGAGCAGCAGCCACCTTCTGCCCTTTATAGGAAATTACATGAGCCAACCCAGATATACCTATTGAGTTACCAGGTTGGCTACCCCTCGACTTTACAGCCCTTAAGGGACAAGCCACTCTGTTACAGGGGAAATAATTTTGTGTTGATTTCCTTCAAATAAATCAAAATGATTATAATAATCAAAGGATAATGTGTGTTATATATTGAGGGATGAAGTCCAATGCAGTCAGTCAATCATTATAGGAGACGTACATGGAGGCCAATAATTTAGTAGATGCAGTGCCAAAGACACAGGAAGTGGTAACTTTAGCCTTCAGATTTCCCTTCATCCTAGGCCCATAGTTCTCAATTAGTTCTCATAGGCTGGGTGACTACAGGGTTGCATGACAAAGCTAGTTTTACAATTAAAGCTAAATAGTTTAATAAGACCGTTGATATAATCCCAGTAGAATTTTTTATTTTTATTTTGCTGGTTTTAACAGGGAGTTGGCCGTAACTAGCACATCATATTTCCTGGTTTCTAGTGTTGGTACACATAAAGGATAACAACTTACTACTACAATCAGTTATTTTACTAGGCAGAGATCTGTGCAGTGTTTCTAGGGGTTCCAACCCTGCTGATGACCCACGTGGGTGTCAATCTGGATTTTTTTTTCAGTTTGCTTTTTAAAACCTAGGTAAATATACACAAAACAATATTTAAGAAAATTTTTAGTCAGGCTCTCAAAATTTAGGAAATGCCAGAATTAAGATATTTGCTTGTGCAACCTTAATTCAACGCCTTTATGCATGTACATTATGATACAGTCTTCAACTGCAAAAATCATATGTATAATGTATAAATATATGTATAATGTAAGCCTGTGCAGAGGCAACATTAATTTTAGCATTTCCTATTTTTTGATTGCTTGATTTTGCTTCTTTAATTATGCTCTTTAACTTATTTTTGGTATGTAATATATACATACACATTAAGCGTACATTATATACAAAATCTCCACACTTCATATAATTAATTTTTATCTTTTTTAAGTTTAAAAAAAAATGCAAAGTAGCCCCCAAAATGTTTCAACACAAATTTTAAATTTGTAAGGACAAAGAGCAAGCACACTTGTAAGAAAAAAATTCTTTATTTTGTATCCCCAACTTCCTAGGACAGATTCTCAAGAGGTCATCACCAGTTTATCTGAGAGCACCAGTACAGAACTGTTATAGACAATCAAAGCATTTCCTTTCCTTTTGACATCTTTGATATTAATTTAATGATAATTAAGATAAGGTAGAATTTACAGCCTCTCTTTCCCTTATAACCATGCAGGAGTAGGAACATAGAAAATATGGAGTGGAAGTTTACTGATATATTTACATCACGTATATGGTACATAACACACTCTGGGACTACCTACAAATGTATACAGTCATCCCCACCTTGTGGTTTATTACAACATAAAGAGGGAAGAGATACTCTTGTAATAATTTGTGCCAGAATTTAAGCAAACAAACATACCAAATATTCTTAAGAAATTACAAGTATTTGACTATAATGCAAAACATGGTAAACTTTCCTATAAATAGGAACAACAGTCTAAAGAAATATGTAATCTACTATACACGTTCACATCCTGTATGTGGCCAGTAAAAGCAATTAGGCATTGACAAATATAAGCATAGGAGCAAACATACATGAGTAAAACAAAGTTATCCCTGCTGCAGGCTGAATGGCCTATGTGGAATTCTCTTCCTGTACATTACAAAGAAACTTCCACCAGCAGTGAACAGGACCTTGTACATCTTCTGTATGTGTTCATCTATTGCCAATATATTTGTGGGGCTCCTGTATAGATAGCTAAGGTACTATATTATCTGTATGTTACATATTTTACATATTCTATTTAGGAGACAGCACCTCCTCCTTTCCCCCCCCCCCAAAAAAAAATACATACATCTTTCACCAACAGTCATAGAGCACAAACCTGTGTTTATGCTATAATCAGTGTCATACACCTAAGGCCCTTAGAATTAATGTATATATACATATATAATGTGTGTGTGTATATATATATATTATAAAACCATATGGACAATGAGGGAATGAGATAATAGAACCCTTAATTCATTCAAAAGATAAACAAAAATGACATTATTTTGCTTTAACTTTCAGTTTATCTTATTTTGGAATATAAATTTCACACTATGTATTGATGTGTGGGCCGGGTTTTTATGAGCTAATGCTTTCTGTGAAATACATTGGAAAATTGTATGCTCTATTTCATGCAACAGTTGGCATAGTATTGGAATAGCAAAGCTATTGGAATAGCAAAGCAAATGAATGCTAAAGCCAAAAAAATATGAGGAAGTGTGATTTACAGCTGGCTTAAGATTTATTCATCAGACTGCCTGAAACATTTTCTATACATATATTATTACATAGCTTGTGCTTCTACTGCTAAGTTTATCTAGCACTATTTGCATGGGTTTGTAATAGCCATAAAATATTTCCTCTGTACAGGAAGTATGTGTGGTTTCAGAGAGAAGCTTTATTGTCTTTGACTAGTATGATTTCACATGGTGAGTTCATTAACAAGTTCTGCTTGTGGAATCCCTACATGTCCAAAGTAGTTTATGGTGTAAAGCTCTGATAACTCAAATGAACAAGCTTTAAGTCAACTTATAATTAACAGTCACTAAAATTAGTATCCAGAGACAAAATATAAATAGTAAAACTACATAAAAAACCCAAAAAATTATAAGCAAACATATTTGGTGGAAATTTCAAAAGCATTCGGGATTGATATAACTCTGCTCCCATTGAAGTCAATGGGAAAACTCCCACTTACCTCTATTTTTGAAAATCCAACCCAATATATTCAGGGTAAGAAGATTATAATAAACAAATTCCATCAAAGTAAAATTCATACGCACTCAGTGAGTAAGGTTTTTTCTTACCAATCCTGTTCTCATGCACCATTCAGAAACTCACGTACATGTCAAAATTGACTTAGATATTATCAAATTTATCAGCAGACAGCAAATTGACATAACCAGGAGTCATACTTGTGAATTTCTTACTTAAATACACAATTTATTTCATGTAGCTCACCTAAACATGATGCATCCCTTCTACACTTGCTCTGTGGCAACTTCTGCACCTTGTAATAAACAAGAACTCTGCCTGTGTGCAAAGACAGCAGCCATTTTGTTCTCAATGTTCTTGTAGTTTACTACACAGACCACTAATTTTTGTTCATCTCCTTAATCTAAACAAAGAGGGCCTTCAAACTGAAAATATATGGCTGCTTTTTATGTATGAGCAAATATCATGTGTCAAAGAATAACCATTCTTAAAATACTGCTGAAATGATAGAAAGATAGAACAAAAATCCATGAACAACATTCTAGAAACTGGAATATATCAGTATCATTAATTGTCATTCAGACTAACCACCATTGGAATATGATTTATTGATTATATCCCATTATATGCTACAGACCAGCTGGCAGAAAATACCAATAATAGTGAAGTCAGGATAAAAGATTTTGTTCAGTATTTCCTCTCCAGCTTTGTAAATAGCAGCCACCAAGCTCTACCATGGATTTGAAGTATGATGGTGAAAAACCTTTCTAGCATCTCATGATTGATTTGAGAGCAAACATGAAATTTGATCCAGGTGGGCTAATCACTTAGTACTTTGGAATTTTAATTAGAAGTCATTTCATTTAGAAAACCATATACTGCCCCTTAATTACCTTTAATTAAAAATGTCCTGTGTGTGTGTTCTAATAGACCCTAATGGAGTTGAAGGGTAACAATTCACAAATTAATAGGTCTCTGGCGATGGAACCCTTGCAGCCTTTCTGTGTGCATGATCCAAACATTATGAGTTCACAATAGGTGCTGGCACAGACTGTTATAGTCTACTGTGTTAATAATCTACAATTTAAACTACAGTAAGCCTAAATAAGCCTCCACACTAAAGATGTCAAGGTCTATTATGTTAATAACCCACATACTACAAAGTCCCGAATAAGGCCTCAACGTAGCCCATAATGACTACAAATTACCACAGTAATTGTACTATACACTAGAACTGATTCATCACCTACAGGGAAGACAGAGTAAAGTTATTTTTATACTGTGTGCCTGCTTTATAATCTACTTTTCTGTAATATATTCTTCTTTACATCAGCATTTCATTGATCTGTTTGCCACAACCTATTTCATACAGTTTTTGAAGTCTAAACTAACTTTTTAAACTTATTACCACCAGTCATTTAGTGACTTGAGATCAAAGTGTTTTTCAGTAAAGGGAAAACCTGAAATGTTCACATCATTATCCAAAGCCATAATGAACTGGATGAAGTTTTCCCTATATCACTCCTTTCTCTCTCTTTCATCCCAAACCAATCAGATGATTTTTTTCTTTCCCTCAGCCTCTTTCTTCTGCTCCCAGAA